AAGCAAGCTGAGCTCCTGACCAGCACCACACTCAGCCCCAGTCACACATCCCAGTGTTTACAAACAACTCTCGAGCTGAGCTATCAGCCAGGCCACCAGCAGCAAATCCTTCTGCAGAGCCAAAGCCCCTTTCTAACAGCCACAGCCTATTATGAGCTCCAACAATGCAGCTGCTGGGATTGTCCCAAAAAGCCCTATCAAGCCCCAAACAGTTCTGTGCCACTCCAACAATGTGTTGATGACAGGGAGAGCAGTGCCAAGCAGCCACAGACAAGCCAGAGCACTTCCAATGCTGCCTCAAGTGAGGCTATTTGGGTTTTCTGTGAAAATTAGAAGCTGTCTGGATGCTGATAGTGAGATTCATGGAGCTAAAACCTGTTCTAGTTAAGATATGGGGTTTGCTGAGGAATTAGAAGTAGCAGTGATTCTAAAGTAATGGCAAACACAGTGGTGGGAGCTCCTGGAGTGAGAATCTGGACTACAACATTTACTGAACAAGCACCAAGCAGCAAACAAGAGACCACCACATCTACCAGCACTCACACAACTGAGCTGGCCTGGTTTTCCTTTAACATGAAAAGCGAGTGACAGGGAAAAGCTTCTGCTTCTAAACAGGAATCTGATGCTAAATCCAGCTTTTCAGAGCTTGATTTAACATCCCAGTCTGCAGCCAGAGGTTAGAAATGTGAAATATGTGACTTCAAGTAAAAAAGCAAGGAAGGTGGATCACACAGCACCTGTTTCTACCCCTGAAAGCAACAGAAGATCTCCAGACCTGACATCAAGGCTCACTAAAATTGAGCACCCAAAGGAACTTCCACTGTGCTCATGACAGGACACAGCCACCACTGAGCTCTCAGCAGTTCCTTTAATCAGGAATCTCCTGTCAACAGGCAGGGGATGCCTTTGCTACAGAATCCTTCAGCTTTCAGGTCCAACAAATCCACTGCAGTCTTTGGGAGATTAAAGCAAAGAATCAGAAATATATATATATATATATATATAGCTTTTTTCCCTCTCAAAAGCAAAGGAAAAGCTATAAAACTCTGATTTCAAGGCACATTCAATTCATTATATATACAGCAACCAACTTTGGTAGACAAAGAGGTAGAGTATATAAGATCTTAATTGTGATAGTTTCCAAAAGACATTGCCTTCAGTGGCACCAGACTCTTCAGGGAATGAGCCACAAAGGAAACACCAGAACCATTGACACCACCTCTGCTGCAAAGAGGGATGGGAAGGACAGCCAGGTTTGAGTGAGCAGAGCTCTACAGGACACAGGAGAATATTGGACATCTTCTGCAAGCCAAGAGGTGGCACTGAGGGCAGCAGCAGCTGGCACTGGCACAGGGACACTGCAGCACTCCCACAGACCCTGGCATGCTACAGGCACTGCCTTTCCCCCGGCTGATGGGCACAGAAGGACAGGGAGGGCAAAGCAGGATCTGTGCTAGCTACAAGCACACACACTCCTTAGCCTGTCAAGCATCTCCTCCTGCAGTTCAGCAGCACAAGGAACCCATGGGCAGCCCCTCAGTGCGAGGGAATCAATCCTTGTGCAGCTCTGCCAGGGACAGCCCCTGCCAGGCCCCTCCCACCCCAGCAAGGGCACTCATGCTTTACACATCTTATATTCGGCAGGACTGGGGGTGCTGTCCCGTTTCCTACAAACAGAAAAACAAGGCAGATCAGAGGTTTTTACATTGCAAGAGGTTTCACATTTACACTGAAAGCACATCCTTAGTTTTGGCATTAAAGCTGCAGGTGAAGTCACAAACTGGGTCAGTCTTTAGCCTCTGTTTAGCAGCTGCTGGACTGAGGAGATTTCAGCTTCATTCAGCTCCTGAACTGTCAGCAGTGACCCAGGGAGCAGCAGAACCTTTGATCCAAAGGGATCACTCCCAGTGATGACTGGTATTACCAAAAACTAACACCAGAACAGTTACAGGATTCCCATAACTCCACCGGGTGCACCCTGGAATTCATTTTAATTACAGTGTGTTGTTTAGTGTGTATTTTCTAACCAAAAATGAAATATTAGTTAGTGTGGATTTTGATTCTGCAGTCCACTAACAGCAACTTTACAATACTTAAATACACAAGAATTAAAATTCACAATAATATTCTTATGTATGTCCCCAGTTCTTGAACAACTCCTGTTTTGCCAAACCTCAGTGCTATTGCTCCAAGGCTCTAAGGAGTTCCTTATTCCCTAAGAAAACCTCCAGAACTCCCAGTGTTTTGACACACCAGACCAGTAATTTCTCTTATCATGTGTAAAGGTAAGATTGGAATGAAGAATTCTATTCTATCTCCTGATTCATTTTTTCTCTCCAAAAATCAAGCCAGAAAACAGACCCTATCTTAATGAGAACCATCTTTCTTCAGAGTGAAGATGACATTCCTTAATCTTATACATTATTTTGGAATAAACGCCAAGCTTAACATTCATATAAAAACTCACCAAAAATACTGAAAATTTACCTGTCTTTTACAAGTCAATAAAATCAAGATTATGCACATGAAAAGACTTTTGCATTAAGTTGGATTAAGAGAACCCATCACCTCCTCAGAATCTGTGCAAAGGAGAAAAGCAACAAGAAAAAAAAAAAAAAAAGAAGATAAGAAGATACTGATTTAAAAAAAATATTTGTAGTTCCAGCTCTGTTGAGATAGGAATGCCAAAATACTGGCAAGGAAAAGTCAAACTGAGCTGTCCTGTCTGCAAAGTGCTCAGTTCAAACAAGGCAGGAAGAACCAGATTTTGGAAAAGCCCATTTGACCCTACACAAGTGCAGGAGGAACCCCAACATTCATCACATGCATCTCACTGGAGTGAGGTTAAAATACAGGAGAGGACATCAGCTTCAAAGCAACTGAATTTTGATTCTTTTCAGGGCTACAGAACTCTGGATTTGAAAAAGAAATCACCTTTTCATAAGAAGGTTTCAAATGTTCCTTGTTAGACCCTTCAATAATCCTCTTCTAGAAAGCAAAAATGCACAGGAATCAGTAATTGTGAGATGTGATCTGGTTTTCTCTGAAGGGATGCACAACTACCTTTAGAGTTTCAGTGCCCACAGGTGGTTCCAGCTTCTAATTACAGGGAATTAAACTATTAGCTAAGAAAAGTAACTCACCACTGGGATGGGTGCAGACATTCTTCTGAGTATTGTAGGCAATATGCTACTCATTCTTCAAACACAACACCAAGAAATGTGATTTAAATCATTGGAAGCTTTTAGTGACACTGCTAAATGATAATTCTCTCTATATGATATCCTGTTCTCCCAAAATAAATGAAAAGTTAAAGATATTCTTTCCTACAGGAAGCCAAGGTTCCCAGCTAGATGGATTCCACACTCCTGAAATTCCAAGCAAAGCACAATAAAAAAAGACACTTCAGCTGCATTGCAAAAAGTCCAAATGAAGTGGAAAGTTATACCTTTTCATTATTTCATTTGTGCAGTTTCTTCCATCTCAGCTGGGACATTAGTTTTTAAAATACAAATTTCCTTGCAACTCTCATCAACTGTGTACGAGCTGAACAGCAGAAAGGGAGAAAGGTCTAATTGAATGTCCCATCCAAGGGCATTTCACACACAAGAAACAGAGGCCAAGGAAAGATCTGCTGCCATTTGGAGGCTACAAACTGCAAGGAATCAGGGCTGGAAGCACAACAACAAAGGCTCAGCTGCATCAGGAACTCAGAACACTAAACAGGGAGATGGAGGCTTTCATAAAAGGAGATTAGATCAGGGTTTCAGACAAGAAAGAGCTTTAACAGTCAGATGTTCAGAGAGGAAGATGAAGGGAAGCACTAGGCACAATAAGGCTTTTCATGCTGTCAGATATTCAGGAATGTCAGAGTTTAATTTTAGATGATGCTGTTTTAGATCCCTCCTGCTCTCTGTGCCCTGAGAAGTCTCCCCACGGGTGAAGGCAGCAAGGGCTGCCCTGAACTGCCAGAGCTCTCCTGTGGCCCAGCCAGGCTGCAGAATATCCAAGTACTGAATAAAAGCAGTGGCTCAAAAGCATCAAATTGCTCAGAGCACACTCTGGCCCTTGGATTGATACTCCACTGCTCATTTTAAAGCTAAAACCTCACTGGATATAAATCCCCTCCAGGGCTCTCCAAGTCCTCTGTGTGGACTTCATTACAAACATGAACCACAGGAATATTCCCTCTGGTTTGCTTCATTTAAAGCATCCCTCCCTTTGTGTCATGTACTCCAGATAAATCCCAACAGATTCTGGAAAAAGACAACACTGATGAGATGCTCATCCTGACATTCCATGTGTACCACCTAACCTGCTCTGGACTGTCAGTGTTTTGCATTTTACAAAATATTTCCCTGACAAAAAGTTTTTTTCCAGAAGATAAAATCAGACATCACAGCAAAAAGCAATGCACAAAGAGGAATTTAAATCTCCTGCCTCTCCATCAAAAACCACACATAAACCCCAGTTGTTTTGAAGATAAACTTTAAAACACCCTACCTGTCTCATCAAAAACATAACACTAATTGCTTGTGCACAAATCTAGCATTTTACAGTTGATTTTGCAAGTCTTTAACATAGGGACACCAACATTGGGGCTGAAGGAGGAGAATAAAAACCTGAAAACCTTCTGGCAGCAAAAGCCCATAGAACCAAGACTCCCCCTGGCTTTAGGAGATAAACTGATATGTTTGAAGCAGATGGACAAAATACTTTCCTTGGCAAGTGGACACTGCCACACACAGGCTTGAGAACAGGGCTTTTCCTTCCTTGAAATTAGTGCAAGTGTTAATTAGCAGCTTAGCTGAACAGATCCAAAACCAAAGACAAATTCATGGTTAGGCTTTAGCTCCCATCAGCTGCTGGGAGGAGCTCACACAAAAATCAGACATTTGAAAAAGAAAGGGCACACAAAGCTCAAGAAACTTAAACATCAGCACAGCTTTGGCTCAGTCATTTGGAAACTTGCAGGATTAACAAAAAGGAAGTTTACTCACCCATTCTGTGAGAAGAATTTCTTGTAGATCCAGAAGGCTGCCAGGAGCACCACAGCTATCACAATCACTTCAGGAAGAAGTAAAAAAAAGCACCTTAGAGTGATAAAGATCATCTCCAGCTCACAAAAGAGCAACAAAACTTTTACAGAAATAGCCTTGTTTTCATCTACAGATCTATCCCACCTCTACCCCCCTAAAAAAAAAACCCACAACCCAACTTATTTATGGAATGAGCCATGTAAATTAAATATTTGATTCTTCAAGATAGTTCAGCTCAGAACCACAGACCACCAAGATGGCAAAACCCCACCAGCTCAGAAACTAAAACAGGAATGACAAGGCCCCAACATTTTTTACAAGTTAATACAAATCTGGGTAACAAAGGCAAGGACAGAGGATGGACTGAATATTTCTGTTCACTGGCAGAGTGATGTACTCACACCTCCAGTAAACCCAAGCTCTGAAATTTATCTAAGTGGCCACGTTGTTGCAAGCTGCCTTTGAAATGTGACCTCACCACACGAGAAAATACACATTTCACACTAAATTAAACTGTAATAGCTAAGCAATCTTTTTTTGAATCATGCAGCTTTAACCAGAACTCCAAAATCACCCTATTGCAGTCCCAGATGAATGGAATCAAAAATGGACTTTCACATAAAAAATAGAATTTGTATTGTATTTTTTAAGGTTTTAGAAAATACTTACCACAGATGATGGCTATAATATATCCACCTAAAAACAGAAGGAATCAGTATCACAAGAGGAACACAGATGCTTCTTGCTCAAATATTATTATCAAAATATTCACAGAGCTATTTCAAATCAAGTACTTCTATCAACACAATCTTTGAGGCAGACTAATTTAAATAATAATATTTAACTTAGAATATGAATATTTTAATTAATTTTAGCAAACCCGATTTTTCCCATTAAAATAAAGAACGAAGCTGCATTAAATCATTTCTCCTGAATACAAAAGGACTGTTTTCTGAGCTGCATTTTCACCTAGTGGAGATTTTGCAGCCCATACTTACTGAGCTGGCAGGTTGGCACAGCTGGCACCCACTGGTTGTTCCCAATGTACTGAATCCGAGCCTCCCCATTCAAGGTGTACCCCGGGTAACATTCAAAGGTAATGAAATCCCCCACAGAGTAGGAAGGTTTTTCTCCATCTATCACCCTCCCATAACTTATGACTGGTGTGGAACCAGAACCTTCAGACTCACCTGGAAAGAAAAGGGGGGAGAAAATAATAATAAATGTATTTCTACATCAGAGATAAAAATCTTGTCAGTCTGCTCCCGATTTTAGCAATTTTACTCGCAGGCACAGTGCTCCTTTTGCACAGGCAGGTTTGCCTGGGATCAGGACCCCCACACTTACTGAGCTGGCAGGTTGGCACAGCTGGCACCCACTGGTTGTTCCCAATGTACTGAATCCGAGCCTCCCCATGCAAGGTGTACCCCGGGTAACATTCAATGGTAATGAAATCCCCCACGGAGTAGGAAGGTTTTTCTCCTTCTATCACTCTCCCATGACTTATGACTGGTGTGGAACCAGAACCTTCAGACTCACCTGGAAAGAAAAGGGGGGAGAAAAAAAAATGTATTACTAGATCAGATATTTAAATCTTGTCAGTCTGCTCCTGATTTTAGCAATTTTACTCACAGGAACAGTGCTGTAAAGCACCCCAGGAACTCTGTTCTTGACAGGTCACTGTCACCTCTGCAGAGCCATCAGGGAAGGAGCAGCCAGCATTGCACCTGATCTGCACAGCCTCTCCTTTTGCATAGGCACCTTTGGCTGGAATCAGGGCCCCATTGGGGATCTTCGGGGCAAGGCACATCTCTGGAGTAACTAATACAGGAATTTAAAACAAGTTCAGTGAGAATAAAGTTTATTTCACAACTCAGTAACTCATTCCACAAACACAAGTTGCCTTCATGTAAAAAAAATAGCTCAGCACATGTCCAAAGTTTAGCTTTACCCCAATTTTAAGTACAAATATTCCCCTTAGAAAACTTAAACATCACTGTAGACATTCATTAGGATGATACAATCCTATGATGAGGCAGCTCAGAAACCCTTACTGGTTCATTATTTCTGAGCTCTAGAAACATTTCTAGAAAGTAGGAGTTGAAGAGCTGCATAAAAAACCACACACACAAAGATTTCCACTACTCCAGAAGGATACTACAGCTTTGCTCACTGTGCATACTCCTAATTCCCTGTATCAAATATTTTCCCCTGTATTCCACATCTTTTCTCCTGCCTTCACCCATGAAATCACTACAACTCCAGGATGCTCTATTTTAGCTAACAAAAGAAAAGGGAATATTACAGAAAGTCTTACGTTTCTCACAGGTTGGTTGTGGAGGAACCCAGATGTTATTTGCTTCACAGGTAATTACCTGTGCTCCAACCATGAAATAGCCTTGATTACACTCAAACACAACTGAGTCCTTGTATCTGTAGGGAAGTCCAAATCCAGACATTTTTCTCCCATTTTCAACTCTGGGGTCTTCACATTTGACCACTGAAAGAGGCAAAACATTTGTTAACACAAACATGTGTTCATAAATGAAAACAAAGCTTGGACACATTTGTTAACACAAACATTTGTTACCATTGAAAACAAAGCTTGGAAACATCTGTTAACACAAGCATGGCAAACACAACATCCTTTTCCCTACGTGCCAATTTCCACAAGTTGTTTTGGAGAAGCTTTGTAGAAACATTGATTCCTGCACTTCCACAGGGACTGTTTTTAGGAACAGGATTCTTCCTTAGCTTTTTACAAGTCCTATCCAGCTCCCACATCCTTGCCCTTGACACAGTTTTTCTCCAGGATTTGTGGTCTCCCAGTTCCCTCCCTTTGGCCTTGCCACTTCTACCAACAAGACACTCAATTTTTCAGGTATTTTTCAAGCTTTAACTTAAATTTTAGCAATACTCTATTCATAATTCATCCATATCCACCATGCTGATGTAATCTCACTGGAACTGCACCAAACTTTGTACCACAGCATTTTTTCCTTCTTTCCTAGAGGCAAAGTCCATCCTCCCCACCCCACTTCCAAGGAAAGGGCCAGACACTGTAAAAAAATAGAAAAATTCCAATAACCTCGACATTCTGGAGGTGGCCCACTCCAAACTCCGTTTGAGTTTGCATCAGATGTGCAGTAAATGGTGTCTGAGCCAATGAGGGAGAAGGGATCGCTGTCCTTGGGGACATCCAGGCACCTGTAGGTCACTGAGCTCTGGTACACGTAGCTGCCTCTCTCCTCGTACTCCCCGTTGGCTATTTGGGGAGGTGGCTCACAAGGAATTACTGGAAATAAAGCACAAAAATTGGTCAGATTGGTTTTGCTGGGTTAGCTGGTTCACCTCAAAGAGCAAACCTTGGGTTTTCAGTCATTTCACTGAAAATCTGACACAGCCACTCGAAGTCAAGCTACAGAACCTCAGCTTCAACATGAGATAATAATATGAGATAATATGATTTTAATAGGAGACAATTACCACTAAAACTGACATTTTTCAGTGGTCGATCATCAGGCATAACCCAAGTAGTTAAGGAAAAAATGATCCCTGCTTTCCCATCATTTTTTATACTGGAAAGTTATACTGGTGGCACAGCTGTTTGTAAATGAACTACCCCATCTGAACAGAAAATCAAACACAGCAGTAATTTACTTACTTTCACAGTAAGGCAGAGTTCCACTCCAGTCAACACCTCCATTCTTGATATCACAGGAAATCTCTTCCTTACCTATTAATCTGTATCTAGACAGGTAAAAATTTTGAAGAAGTGAAATTTAAATTTCTCATTTCCCCAACAAGCACCAAAAAATTGTGCTTATCAATAATTCTGTTCTGTGATTACAGGGACATAACACAACAAGGTTTTGTTGTAATGAGAATAGAATCTTGCTTATTTTGCTGACAGTCTCACTTTGAAAACAAAACAGAAACAAAAGAGAAATCACTAAGGAACTGTGGAAGTCTTACAATTTTTAGAAATATCCTCTAATATTAAAGTCCTAAAATTACTGATACTCAAGGAAAAGATAAAAAAAAAACCTCCTTAGTGTTGTTGACTTAATTATTCAATAACGAAGGATGATGAATATATATCTACCCCCTCTGCCACAGGAGCATTAAAAGAAGTCACCAGAGGTAACACTGCAGTTCTGCAGAATCTCACTAAAAAACTCAGGGTTAATGCAAAGAGTAATTAAACCACGGAATCAAATTAAATTTTGCGGCAATTTCATTTCCTACAGGTAGAATTCAGACTTCAGATCAGAACTGGAACAGAAAATCTGGGTTTATTTCAAATCTGGTGTAAACATAAAAAAAAAATCATTAACTTCAGCAAAACACTTACCCTTCATTACAACGAAATGTCAATTTTGAACCAAATGTAAGATCTCTTGCATCAAAATAACCATTTTCCAAGGGTCCTGGGTATTTACATTTTCTTGCTGGGGGGGAAGAAAAATTAAAGAAAAAATTCTACATTTGTGTAGTTACATACAAAGACAAAATCTTTAGCACTTACTGCTCTTACCCACACCAGCATTTTCCAAGCTTCATTTAAAATATGGCAAAACCCTAATTCCCACTTGCAAAGCCACTGAAACTGGTAAATATCAGTAGGAAAAAAGGGGTACAAAAACTTACCTGTACAGAAAACGCTTGTTTGTGACCACTGCAAGTTATTACCACATGTCCAGGTCAGCGACTTCCCTGGGACCCTAATGTATCCTGGCCGGCAGGTGAAGGAGATTTTGGTCCCAGGTGGAAAATCTTGGAGATCCCTGGAGCTCTCGTCGAGCTCTGCATTCTGCTGCCGCTCTGGCTTGGGACACGAGCCTGGGAGGGAAGGGAAAAAACAACACATCACCTTAGCGACAAGAAGAGAAACACACCGAGGTGAAACAGCACAGGAGACAGAATCATTCAAGAGCTCTTAAGGATATATTTAAGTCGTTCCCAGTTTTTGATTTAGGTTTTAACAGCGTGCAGCGTCCAGCTCTATACGTGTATAGGGTTACTCATTGTTTCTTCAAGTTCTTTAGTCATTCTACCCAGACAATGCACTTCCTTCTAGATCCTATTTTCAAATTTTTGTCTGTTTGCCTTTATTTTGTAGTTAAACGCACGACTTCACTCACTGTACACCCATTTCGTTTGCTGCATGAAAAACAAACAAGCCAGCCCCACTCACAGAGCTCATTGTCCCTTCTTAGGGAAAAGGAAAGCGGGTGTAAGGGACAGCAAGCCGAGTTTAGAACCGGCTCCAAGGCCGGGCTGGAGGGAGGCTCAGCGGCAGGTGTCCCTGCCCAGGGCACGGTGGAGCGGGATGCGCTTGGAGGTCTCTCCGCACCCGAACAATGCCACAATTCCCTCGAGTCAAACCCGCCCAAACCCTCGCGGCTGCACCATCGCCCTTAGAGCCATTTCCTTCCTTCCTGCCAGCCTCGCCCCCGGCAGGCCCTGAGGGCACCCTCGGCACCGCGGGCACTGGAGCGGGGAGCAGGGCACGGGCACCATCGCGATCCCAAACCCGATTCCCATCCCCATCCTGATCCCGACCCCGTTCCCGTTCCCGATCCCTCCTCCCAGCCGCGGCCCCCCGAGGGCTGCGCACCGCGCCCGCCGCTCCGAGCGCCCCTTCCCCACCGGCACCGCCCGCTCGGGGCAGCAAAGAGCGAGCGGCCGCTGTCTCACCCTGAGCCCGGGCTCCGCCGAGCTGCCACAGCAGCAGCACGAACAGCAGCGCTGGCAGCACCGAGAGCCGCCCCATGCCCGCAGCGGGGCCGGGGCTGCGGCCGCTCCGCTCCCTCCCGGCGCCGCCGGAGACGCAGCGCGGGGCCGGGTGCGCATGCGCGGCCCGCCCTCAGCGCGGCGCCGCCGCCATGGCCGGGCCCGCCCGCCGGGGCCCCTCTCGCCGGGGCGGCGCCGCGGGGACAGCTCGGGCCGCTGTTCGGTCCGGGATCGCTGACAGTCCCCGGAGCGAGCTCGCCGTGCCGGTGTCACACACAGGACTGCAGGGTAGGGCGGATTCCGGGCACAGCCCCTGTGTTGTCATGAGTTAATTGCCACGCTAATGACGCAGTCCCGGCTCGGTTCAACGCATGCTCGGGAAGGCTCTGGTTGAACCCAAAGTGTTATTTTTAGCGGGGTAATAATCGCTGGTCAGCTGAAGAATACCTCGGCCTTAAGTGTTTTGCCAAATGTATACATCAGCATCTTCATTTACTTCATCCTTAAAGACAGTTCATTCGGGGATACCCTTGACTAAGGGATGCTCCTGCCTGCTCCTTTTTTTATTGATTAGGATTGAAAGTATACAAAGATGTTCCATCAAAGATCTTCCCTGACTTAAAGTAATCTTGGAATATGTGGACATATTCCTCATTTTACAACACCCTCAGCGCATTACAGCCCTGGGTGCAAGGAGATTGAATCCTTTCCTGAGTGCCTCAAGGAAAGAGGGAAAAAAATCAAAGTATGTTTAGATGCCACATTGGAACACCAACAGTGATAAATTAAAAATAACAGCCAGCTCGGGATGGACAGCCCTGTGCAGCGCTGCTCTCCTTTGGAAGTTAAATTTTAAGTTAAATCCTGTTTGTGGTGGAGCAGCATTAAAATAGAACAGCCCAAAAATGTTAAAAAAAAACCAAAGCAGAAAAGACTTAAAGTTCTGGGTAGGTGTAAAAGAAGACACAGAATTGTCATCATCAGCTTTTATTAGGTTAAGCATTGGTAGAGGAACACTGCACATAAGCGTTGCTGGAAGGAAATAAACATGTAAATACAGCTGTAATTAAGACATTAATTAACACATGGTTTCTCCCACATTTGTTCAGGTATGTTTTGGTGGGCATAGGGAGACAGGGAATGGGGGTTATGGCCAGTGCATTATTGATTGTTTCTTCCTACAAAGGTTTGTGGTTATCCAGTTTTTTGGGGACAAAGGAGGTTATTCTGCATCAGGAGCAGTGCACAGAATTCCCTGCCAGGGAGCACCTGCACTGTGTGCAGTCTGAGCCTCACTAGATCCTTACAGTTACTGCAGAGAGCAGAAGAGCATTGAAGATTTACAGTAAAATGTCCTTTTTTTCTGCACAGAATTCCAGTCTCCACGTGAGCGGCGCATCCTCGCTGCAGGGAACGAGCCGGGTGCCTGGTCAGCCACAGCAGGGATGAGATCTCTTCCCAGCCTAGGAAAGAGATGATATCCTGGGGTTCAAATCAGGATTTCCTGGCTTTGTGCTGGTGTGTAGAGATTGCATCACCACCCGGAGAGAGAGGAGGGAATTTCTGGGAAATGCTTTGTTTCAAAGGAATCACACAAAATTGATGTTGTTTGCATGTCCCACTTTGTAGGTGAGGTGCTGATAAACAGTGAAAATTCACTGCTGGCTGCAATAGAGCCACCATAGAAAATAGATTCACTTGTAAGTAAAAACACCATTTTAGTAAGTATGAAAGCAATAAAAACCCCAGGAACCAAGTTCAGTGTCCTTTTCTGACTCTGCTACTCCTGAGGCAGTTTTGCAGCTTTTTCATAATCTGTACAAATTAAAAGCAGCTTTAAGTCAGAAGCAAGGACTGCTCTGGAAGTCTGACCTGTGCACACCAACTATGCAGGCTGTGGAAAAGGAAAGACACACTTTGAGGGTGGTGTCAGAAAGAAAAATAGGATGTTTGAAAACCCAAATATGTTTAAAACATCTTCTATTCAGCAAAAGAAAATATTCTATCAGAAGACAAAAAGGAAAGAGGTTTCTAGTTGAATTATTGTATTAGGAAAATAGTCATTCAAGGAGACAATGCAGTCAGCAATATAAATAAATGACAGTATAGTTATTGCAGCTCTAACTGATATTTTGTGCTGAGGAATATAAATCCATACCTCCTATGGCAGACACGAGCCTTTGTGATCAGTGTCTGGGTTCAGGGGGGTTCTGTAATTATAGTTTTCATACGTATGATAATAGCTACGTGAAAAAGAAGAAAACAATGAATTGCCTTGTAAAAGAACACTTGGTTTGGTTTCCTTTAGGAAAGAGAGGCTTGAAATGAAATGACATAACCACACCGTGAGTTCCAGGTTGTGTCATTTGCAACCTGAGCTGAAGATACAAAATTACAAGGCCCTGACACACTGAGGCAAAAATTTCAAGTGTATCAAGCCTATAAAGCTTGGGACTCGGCACCAAGGGACAGGAGCAAAGAGCCAGAGCTGCCTTACCCTTCCTTCTGCTTGGAAATGATTTTCCAGACAACAGCTGCCCCCAGGAGCAGCAGAACTGCTGCAGCTGCCACTCCTGAGGGAGAAGAATGCAGGTTATTCTCACTGAGTAAAGTACACAAAATGCACAATAGGGTGTATCTGCCAAGTAAGCAGAGGGAGGCTGTGCCACTGTGCTGGGGACAAAAATGTTTGTAAGCTGCTTACCTAAGCCTACTGACCCGGGCTTGGGGGACGCTGGGGAGAGGGAAAAAAGGAAAATCAGCAAACTGTTCTACCAAAATACAGCGTTTCTCAGCTGTCCTTAATCAACACCAATAAACCTTTTAGAATCCCAGGATGGTTTGGGTTGAAGGGACTCAAAGCTCATCCAGTTCCACCCCCCTGCCATGGGCAGGACACCTTCCACTGTCCCAGGCTGCTCCAAACCCCAGTGTCCAACCTGGCCTGGGCATTTCCAGGGAACCAGGGGCAGCCCCAGCTTCCCCATGCCAATGTCTCACTGCTAACACCCACAACACCAGGTTTCTGAAAACCACACCCCTGTACACTTCCTTATTTTAAAAATACAGCCAGACATTTGCATGTTTAAAATGCATTCGCATGCTTGTGTTTGATCTTTGCTTTGTTTACGTTCCACTCACTCAGTTTACAGGCGGGCACGGGAGGGTCCCAGCTGAAATCCTCTTGGCACTGCGTGTGACTGATGCCTTCCAGCACGTAACCATCGTCACATTCAAGAGTGATGTTAGTGCCAGAGCGATAAGTACTTCCTTTAATATCTTTTTTAACACCTTGCACATCCGGGAATTCACATCTGATCTCTGAAATTGGAAGCAGTAGAAAGAGGACATTTGGAGGGAACGCAAAATGAGAAACACAGCTGTGGGTTATTTAGGACATCGCTCTTGAGTTCCTTCTGAGTGTAGCCAGGAACCAATTCTCGTTCCGCAGAAGTGGGGAAGTGTCTGAGTCGCAGGTGGAATCCCGAACACCAGAGGAAGCCCAGACTCACCTTTGCACTGCGGGAGGGGCTGGCTCCAGGCCCCCGAGCCCGTGCAGCTGATGGAAGCGTTCCCAACCAGCGAGTACCCGGGATCGCAGCTGTACGACACCGCGGCTCCCCGGGGAAAGGTGGCAGAGGCGTTCCCTTTCAGCCTCCCGTTGGTGATGCTCGGAGGCTGCGGACACTTCACAGCTGGAGAGCCAGGGAGAGACAATCGGCAGGATGCTGAAGGGGGGCCAGGGAGTGGCTGAGGCGCTGCCCCTCTGCAGCCTCGACTGCTCCCTTGGAATTTGTGCACTCAGCCCGGACCCCTGTAACTCCAGCAGGCTTTGGAAAGGCTAAAAATTGTGCTTATCACACATTCTGTACTCAGCCTGTGCTTATCACACATTCTGTACTCAGACCTTCTACAGACCTTCCCCTAAGGCAAGACTCGTTAAAATGTCCTTTGTTCTTTGCTCTCTGCGGCCAAAACGCACCTTGACAGACAGGAGGGGGATGGCTCCAGGCTCCAGATGCTGTGCAATGAATGGATGCTGTCCCCAGGAGGGAGAAGCCAGGCTCACAGATGTAGTTTACGGATGTTCCCACAGTAAAAACTGCTTTTGCTGGGCCACGGAAAGACCCGTGGGTGATATTTGCAGGCTTGGAGCAGTGCAGCACTGAAAACAGAGAGTGGAGATCAAAGCAGAGCTCAGAGAAACAAGAGGGAAAACTTCAGAGCAGCTGGGGAAGGCTGAACTCTCCCTCCCACAGCACTGACCCCAACAGCCCTGCCCAACCCTCTGCAAAGTTCCCTCAGAAAAGCAGGACAGGCTGGGAGGAGGAGTTAGTGATTAGTAAATCAAATCTTGTCTCTTCAGGTAAGAGACCTTACCTGGCTTTGTTGTGGGGTCAGGGTGGTGATAACGTTCTGACACTCCATCTAAATGCAGCATTAAGAGTTTAAAAACACGGTTGAGCAAATAAAATGTACACATTTACCTTCATTTCCTATCATCCTGGTATTACATTTCCAGGAAAATATTCACAGCTCTCTGATAGTCTATGTCCTGCTGCTACCAAATTCCTCATTTCCAGGGAATAACAGAATGTAGATTATGGATTGCAACAAACAGTGTGAGAAAGTGCAAATCATGCCAGTACTTACAGCATTACTCAAGCCCTGCTCATCTCCTGTGTGTGAAGAGAGGCATAAATGAAAGGAAACATTTCTGGGTTCTCCTTAAAGCAGTTGGAGCAAACAGGAAAAATAAAACCAACTTTGGCTTCGGTGAGTGAAACCATGAGGAATGTGCAATCCCGACAAGGCCAAGAGCTGATTCTTACCCTGCTCACAGACAGGCACAGGTGGGTGCCACCTCCTGTCCCCTTGGCACTGGGATGTGGGGTGGCCTCGCAGGGTGAAGCCTCTGTGGCACTTGAAGGTGACAGAGTCCCCGTAGGTGTAGCGGGGCCTGGGGACAGCCACCCTGCCATTCTGGACCTGTGGGGCTGGGCACAGCACCCCTGAAAGAGAAACTCCTCTTTAGGGGTACAAAGCCACGTGAGTGCTGAATGAACACATCCTCAAGTCCATTCTCAGTGTGCTCAGAGCACTTTCACAGGTAGGACTTAAAGACTCAGATAAGAATAATTCCAGGTAGGACTTAAAGACTCAGATAATTCCAGGAACTGAGGGGAGGATTTTTAGTTCTTTGAGGTACCTTAAGGGAACCACAATATTATTATTTTTATATATATTTATATAAACATAGATGGTGTGAATATATTCTAATAAATTCATGAAATGGGGTAGAAATCTGTCAGTACTATCATTCTCATGAATGCTTTACTATTCCCAACCTCAAAAAGCAATTCCATCTGAAAAAAAAAAAAAAAGACTAATTGCAATGATCAACCCCTGCAAAACATCCTTGTGCTTCAGTTAACAGTAGAGGGTTTGGAAAATTCCATTTCAGTGGTACTCAAAATGTCACTCTTCTACATAACACTTTTTTTTTTACTTGATTTCTTATTTATTGTTGTGAAACAAAAGGGACAAGTCCCTGCAGGCATCTCACAACTCTTCAGTCTGAATTGCTGTGACAGATCAAAGCTTACAACTGGAAGATTTTCAGAAGAAACCAAATATACAAGCATAAAAAAAATCTAAAAACTATCCCAGAGGAATATTATCCTTTAATAGTCTTATTCATTTAATTCTATTTATTTAAAGGAAACACTTTTTAATTTTAAGGACTTAATATGGCAATTCTGGCCCCAATGTAGTGCTGACCTACTTACTTTTACAGATGGGAGGCAGACCAGTCCAGGCAACATCTCGTCCCAAAATCTCACATCTCCTGTGGGACTCTCCAACCAGCCTGTACCTGGAGGTGCAGAGAGAGAAATATCAGCTCATACCCAGTCCCTCAGCTTGGATTCTTCCCTCCCCAGAGTTTTCCTTCTGCAGCCTCCTGATTCCAGCTGATCACCAAGGTCTCTCTGCTGGTTTGACACGTGGGAGTGGAGGACACCAAGTTGCTTTTCCCAGATCCAAGGGGAGCAACACTGACCCCAAAAACTCTGGGTTACATTGGTCAGGTGGTAAATCAGGACCCAACTGATTTCCAAAGGGCTGGAGCCTCCTTGCAGCACGGCCTTGCTCCCACTCTCAGCTCCTGCTCGAGGCCATCTGAGAAGGAAAACTGAAACTGGTTTGCAAATTAATCTGCTGAGCACAGGAGGGAAAAGTGAGACAATTCTCCCTTTCTGGAGCAGGCAACTATGGCAGAATTAGAACCAAAACTCCAAAATTCCAATTCTCCCAATGCTGTGGGAGAACAGCTGTAGAGGAGTGGGCTCTGATCCTTTACCCACCACCAAACTCACACAGGAGGCAGCAAAGGCAGCGTGGGACTCACCCTTCGTCACACGTGTGGCTCACGGTTGACCCAAAAAGGAGATCTGTCAGAACAACAACTCTGCCATTCCTGGGGGGTTCTGGGTGGCTACATTGCTTCCCTGGGAAAGAACAAGGCTTTGTTTAAACTCCTCTCTTGAGCTTGTGCTGCACACTATGAGAAGGTACCTTAAGGCTCTGTCCAAGCTCTGCCACCAACAAAGATGTGATTTCAAAAAGGCCCAAAGCGGCCCAGACCGTGTGACTAGTAAAGCCATGTACCAATCTTTCCTTCAAAAACCCACAGAATAGACCATTTCCAATAACCAACACCAAATGGATGGAGCTATTCACTTTTACAGAACTCTAGGGCTTCAGACCACGTGTGGTTTTGGAGACAAGTCAGAGTTTGGGGCACTCCGGGGCGTCTCGAGTGTCCCGGCCGGCAGCTGTAGCTCACGGTGTCCCCAACAGCAAATTCCTGCTGATTTCTGTATTGCCTGGCTAGCTCAGCGAAGGTCAGGTTTGGAGGTGCACCACAGCCACCTATCGGGGGAGAAAACATGGGGAGAAACGGAGATGTCAGCTACAAAAATTGTTTTTAAATGTATTTTGAGTATGTGCAGCTTAAAATCGTTGTGCGAAATGGGTAAAAAAGGGGAGGGTCAAGGATTCAGAATTCTGGGAAGGGCAAAGATGAATCCTACAGGTATAAACCCCCAGGCTGTCCACAGCTCCAAGCTCAGAGCCGCAGTGTACCTGCACACTGAGGCAGAGGGAGGCTCCAGTTGCCAGAGCTGGTGCAGTGGATGGATGCCTCTCCCCGGAGGCTGTAGCCTGGGTCACAGCTGTAGTTCACAACCATCCCAGCAGGAAAAACCTCCAAGTCCTGGCTGTCGTGGGTTCCTTTGGTAATATTGGGAGGTGAAGGGCATTGCAGCACTAAAGAGGACAAAACAAAACTGAGAAAAGGGCAGGGCCATGACCCTGGGACAGGTGGGGAAGTTGGGGTGGTTCAGCCTGAGGAGAAGGCTCCAGGGAGACCTTAGAGCCTCTTCCAGTGCCTGAAGGGGCTCCAAGAGAGCTGGAGAGGGACTGGGGACAAGGGATGGAGGGACAGGAATGGCTTCCCACTGCCAGAGGGCAGGGTTGGGTGGGATATTGGGAAGGAATTCCTCCCTGCCAGGGTGGGCAGGGGAGTGCCCAGAGCAGCTGAGGCTGCCCCATCCCTGGAAATGTCCAAGGCCAGGCTGGACAGGGCTTGGAGCAAGCTGTGGTAGTGGAAGGTGTCCCTGCTCATGGCAGGGGTTGAGATGAGCTGATTTTAAGCTTCTTCAACTCAGTGTCATAGGAGAAGAATCACTGTTTTCAGGAGTCTGCCCAAACCCTCCAAAGGAGGGAGTGATGAAGGGGAAACTACAAGGCTTCAAGCGCACAATTTAAACCAATTGGAAGCAGCTGCAAAACTTACTTTTGCAAAACTCCTGGGCTTCAGACCACGTTAGATTTTCAAGACATGTGATAGTTGGTGATATCTGTGGCTGTTCCACATATCCAGGCCGACAAGTGTAGTTCACAGTCATCCCAGCAGGAAACTCAGTCTGATTTTCATATTCCTTGCTTAGCTCAGCAAATAGCAATGGTGTTGGTGTGCCACAACCGGCTGCCAAGAAACGAAATGGGCATGAGAAATATGTCCTTGGCTGTGAAATGCAGCTAAATAGGAACAGGTGCATTGATAGGCACTGCTAAACCCCAAGTTATTAATGCATCTTCTATGTAGTCTGACGTTTGTCTGCATCAAATAACACTCAGCATGTAAGGACACAGGCACCTAATTTATGTGGTCTTAAAACAAAACAGGATAAAGCAATGCCCAAAAATAGTTTGGTCAGTGTGGTGCCTTCACACGACTCTGGGCTGTAAAGTACAGAAATCTTTAATTTCAATATTTAGAACACCCAAGCCTGTCTCCTTTTGGGAAACTTGAGCAGTGCCACCAGCTTATTCCCAGTGCCACCAAAGTGAGCCCAGCTCCTGCTGTGGTTCTCCCTATGCCATGCAATCCTGCAGGGTGGCAGGTTTGCCTGATCCAGGGTGAGCCTGGCAGGGGATGGATGCTGAGCATGGTACAGGATGGATGCTGAGCCTGGCACGGGGTGGATGCTGAGCATGGCACAGGGTGGATGCTGGGCCTGGCACAGGGATGGATGCTGAGCCTGGCACAGGGATGGATGCTGAGCCTGGCATGGGGTGGATGCTGAGCATGGCATGGGATGGAGGCTGGGCCTGGCACGGGGTGGAGGCTGAGCCTGGCACAGGGATGGAGGCTGAGCCTGGCACGGGATGGAGGCTGAGCCTGGCACAGGGTGAATGCTGAGCCTGGCACAGGGATGGATGCTGAGCCTGGCAGGGGAGGGATGCTGGGCCTGGCACGGGAGGGATGCTGAGCCTGGCACAGGGTGGATGCTGAGCCTGGCACGGGGTGGATGCTGAGCCTGGCACGGGAGGGATGCTGAGCCTGGCACGGGATGGAGGCTGGGCCTGGTACAGGATGGATGCTGGGCCTGGCACAGGGATGGATGCTGGGCCTGGCACAGGGATGGATGCTGGGGCAGCCCCACCTGCACAGCGAGGGTAGGGAAGGCTCCAGTTGCCCCAGGCCGTGCACAGCACCGAGGGGTCCCCGAGCAGGGTGAAGCCAGGCTGGCAGCTGTAGCTCACGGAGGTGCCACTGGTGAAGTTGGTCCCGGGCTCGGCGCTGAGCGTGGCGTGGGCGATGACGGGGGGCGGAGGGCAGGGCCGCACTGCCAGGGCAGGAGCAGAGAGCAGAGGTTTAGGGGTTTCACCCAGAGGAGCAGCACTGGTACCACAGCAAAGCCCGTCACACTGGCTCACCTGGCTGGCAGGTGGGCACAGCGGGCACCCAGCGGCTGTCAGGCTGGCACTTGGCCCCACGGCTGCCCCTCAGCACGAAGCCTGGGTGGCACTGGAAAGTGACGTTGTCCCCAGGGTGGTACACAGCCCTCCGGCCCTCAGCCACCTCCCCGTCCTTGATGCTGGGGCTGCTGCAGGTGATCACTGCGAGGGAAAAGCAGCACAGCTTGGCTGGGGGCATGGCTGGGGGCATGGTGCCAGAGCTGAGGGTGCTCCTCTGGTTCTGGGAGCCTGTGTGAGTGCACTGCTCTCCCTTTGCACTGAGAGTGGCAGCATTTACAGCTCACCTTCACACCGGGGGTAAGGGATGCTCCAGACTCCCGATGGCAAGCAGGAAATGGTGCTTTTCCCAGCCAGGAGGTAGCCTGGGTCACAGTGGTACCTCACTGCCATGCCAGGGATGAACTCTGCCACCCCCTTGCTGTCGTGCTGGCCGTTCCTGATAGTTGGAGGGGAAGGACACGGTGGCACTGCAAGGAGAGGAAATCATCCCAGCTAGCCAAGAGCTGGTACCACAAACACCCTTGGAAGGTGAGGCAGCATTTTAAACTTTGTTCTTCCCATTAATTTCTGCCCAACACCAACGAGGGTGTCACTGAATGATATTTCCATCCTAGCCTCTCTTACCTTCCAGCCTTCATGTTTTCTGAGGTAATTGACATAAAAATGATGGCTTCTCACTGTTTAGGCAACTACAGTGGTTAGTTTTCATCTGTGGCTCTAAAAACTTGCTCTGGTCTCTCTATGGTTGTGAATGATATCAGGCACCAGCCTGGATTTTGTGGATTCATTTAAAGAGCCCTACATTTTACAAGGATCTGAATCACAGAAACACTGAAATTTGAAAAGCCACTACCCCATGTCCCAAGTGCCACATCCACATGTCTTTTAAATCCCTCCAGGGATGGTGCCAGATGATGCCCACACCTCCCCAGGCAGCCTGTTCAGGGGTTTGGATGAGGATGAGAAGGATGGCAGGACATATTATGTGCATGTTTTCCCTTTCCAGTCCCTTTACCTCCTTTACAGGGGTTCAGAAATCAGCTGCCCCTCATCTGCACTTACACTTCTCACAGGTGGGGACAGGAGGGTGCCACTTGCCCCCAAACTGGCACTGGGACTCCTGAGAGCCCTTCAAGGCATAACCTAAGTTGCACTCGAAGATGATGGTGTCCTCCAGGTTGTAGGTGCTCTCTGACCCAGCCACTTTTCCATTCTCGATCTCTGGCCTGGTGCAGCCAATTGCTGGAAGGGAAGAGCATGAGGATGTGAAGAGCTGGGGATGTGAAACCCCTCCTGGTTGTGGAGGTACACTGGGCAGGGACAGCACCTTCTGCTGGGCCTTGCCATCCCTGTCACAGACATTACAACATTTCTGACTCCTGTTCTTACACTAAATATCATTATTCAGCTGTTCCTGTGCGTTTGTACTCAGCGGGAACAGAAAGGGAAACCCACAGGGGCACAGGGGGCTCCTCCTGCCCTGGCACCTCAGCTCTCAGCCTGTGCCTGGGCATTTGCTGGCAATGATTGCACCAGGAGCCGAGCAGGAGGAAGGAGCCCCAGGAACGCACCTCGGCAGCGGGGCTGGGGCCGGCTCCAGGTGCCCCGGGCCGTGCAGCGGATGGAGGCGTTGCCCAGCAGGGAATAGCCCTCGGCGCAGGTGTAGAGCACCACGGAGCCCGGGCTGTGCCTGGCCCCGGGGCTGGCACCGTGCTGCCCGTTGGCAATGCTCGGCGGGGCAGGGCACCTCACCTCTGCCGGGAACAGGGAAAGGCAGGTGAGAAATGGGGCAGGGCAAGATAAACACCAAAAACCCCAATGTTCTGAGAGCAAAGCAGCGAGATAACACAAGTGCAGTCAGCCTTATTGCTGATATGTAACTTTCCCAGGAACTCTCCTTAGCTCTTTGCTTCAGCGGAAACCAACATCCTGGTTTTTAGAGCTTCTGCAGAAGCAATAAATCAAATTAAGTTGTAATGAAAACGGAAGCAATAACAGTACTCCCCCATCAGCCTCAAAGAGGAAAAGCTGTTATACTAAAGCACTAGCAAATAAGTGTTTTATGCTTTAAAAAGTGATTAAAAAATAGTAAATCCTCCGAGTTGTTTTGAACACTCACATTAACTGCTGTGAATACATAAAATCGGTTGTGTGAGCTGTGTCCCCAAGGGTGCAGGCCCTGCCCCAGGCTGTCCCTTGTGCCAGGGCCAGCCAGAGCTGCCTGTGGGCACACCCCGAGCCGTACCTTGGCACCGTGGCACTGTCCCACTCCACGTGCCACGCTCCCCGTCCCCAGAGGTGCAGGACAGGGAGGAGTCTCCAGCCAGGGCCAGCCCCGAGGCACAGGTGTAGGTGACCACGTCCCCAAGGGAGAAGGTGGCCCTGGAGCCCCCGCTGTGTGTCCCATTGGGGATGGCCGGAGGGGCAGCGCAGGTGACACCTGTGGGCAGGACAAGGGGACAAGGGGGGGTCAGCACTGCCCAGGAAGGGCACACGCACAGTGCCCAGGGCTGCAGGGCACACACACAGTGCCCAGGAAGGGCACTGACAGAGGGGAAGCCACCTCAGCAGTGACACAATGACCTGAATCGCCAGTAACAAAGTTTGCATGGATAAAATGACACATGGGAATGAAATCTGTCCCCTCCTGTGAGTCACTTCCTTGCTGCCCGTGGAGGTGCTGGGACAATTCTTACCTCCCTTTCCATAACCATTGGTGACATAGAGAGAGAAACTGGCCAGTGAGAGATACTTACCACTAACAGGCAGTTTAAAATATTAATGTTTCTTCCCAGTTTGCACCAGAATAAATAAAAGACCTTTGAAACCATTTTCAGAAGCATATCCAAACCAAAATGAAAAGAAAAAGGAAATATTTTACACATTCAGTGGCTTGAGAAATCTTTTGCAATAAAACCTTTGGCTTGAAAGAAGTTCCACTTTATCTTGTAAACCATCTCCAAGGGCCTGTTGTGGTGGCCTACTTACCCTGGCAGACAGGAGGATCCCCACTCCACGAGACATGTGTGCCAGAGACCTCACAAATTCTCTGGGAGCCTCCCACCAGCTTGTACCTGGGCCACACAGAAGGATTCATTATTTTAACAGTGAGATTTTTTTATATTTGAGATTTCTTTACAGCCCTTGCAAGTGGCAGCCAAGAGTTCTGGCTTGGGAACTGGGTTGTGTAAAGCTGAAAATCCACTTCCCTCTCCCCAGGGCAGGACTCACCCTTTGTCACAAGCGTAATTGATTTTGGACCCGAGGAGGAGATCTGTCAGGACAACAGCTCTGCCATTCTCTGGGTTCCCTGGGTTGGGGCACTGCTTCTCTGGAAGGGAATGCCAGCCTCCATCAGCCCTCAGCTGGGCTGACATCCCAGCAGGGATGGCACCATGGAGAGCAGGCACAGACACCCACAAAGCTGGGGAAACATCCCAGGGATGGCACCACAGGGAGCAGGCAGAGACACCCTCAGAGCTGGGGAAGCACAGAAAGCAGCCCAGCCTCCCACTGCAGGCTTCCAGCACTCGCAGGACGTACTTTTACAGAACTCCAGCACTGCAGACCAGGTCTGGTTGCTGAGGCAGGTGATGGCTGGTGACACCCCCAGGAGCTGGCTGTAGCCAGGCTGGCACTCGAATTCCACCCTGCTCCCCTCAGGAAACAGCGTCTGGTTCCTGTAGGGCTCCTTGAGCTCGGCAAAGCCCAGCCTGCCAGGGGCTCTGCAGCCAGCTGCCAGGACAGAGAACAGCCAGCTGTTAAAGAGCCACAAAAGGAGGATTGGGAGAGCAGGGGAAGGTTAAACCCTGCTGGGACACTTGCCCTGCTCGCAGACGGGCACAGGTGGCTCCCAGGTGTTGTTTGGCTGGCACTGGATCTCTCTGTGGCCACGAATGGCATAGCCTGGGTCACACTGGAAGGTCACGGTGTCCCTGTGTGCATAGGCAGCCCGGGCAGCCACGATCCTCCCGTGCTGGATCTGTGGGACGGGACAGTTCGCCTCTGGAAAAGAAAGAGGTGCAGTGCTCAGAACAGACCCTCAGGCAGAGCTGGGCAGTGTGAAGCCACCAAGGGCTGCAATTTTAAGACACTGAAAATCATTTTCCTAGAGAAGATGTTGATCAAACATTCCAAGGGGAAAGGGGAGCAGGGTGGCACCCCAGCCTCCCCTGCTCTGCCGGCCTGAGCCCTGGAAGATGCTGGGGCNCAGCTCCAGCCCCGGCTCACACGTGTAGGTTGCGACGGAGCCCAGCACGAACTCCCCCGAGCTGTTGCCACTGTGCTGCCCGTGAGGGATGGCTGGAGGAGGGGGACAGAAGATCACTGCGGGAGGAAGAGGAGAGAACTCAGGAGGGGACCCTGGGATGCTCTTCCCTTCTCTTCTTCTTCTGCTCCTGTCAGGCTTGCACAGGAACCTGTGATGCTCCTGGGGATCCCTGCTTGTGACAGCAGCTGTCCCCTTGCAGAGATGCTGGCCTGACCTCACTTAGTGGAATAAACCAAAAATTCAGAATTTCTAGATTGGAATATTTGGTTTTTCCAGTCAAGCACTGGACAACTTCACTCACCCTGACAAGCTGGAAGAGGACTCCAGACAGCTTTGTTGCCCTCTAGGAGACACCTGATGGAAGGTGATGCTCCCTTTAGTCTGTACCTGCGGGGGCAAAAGGCACATCCCAAAATCAGCTGGTTGTCACCAACCAAGAATGTGTCACCACAGAGGCGCTGAGGACTGCATGGGCAGAGCCCCATGTCCCAGTTCACACCCCAGTGACACTGGGCGGGCAGAGGGAAATGACTTCACCCTCACCCATGGTCACAAACCACTCTGGCCGTTCCACCCAGCAGATGATCTTTTAGGATATCTTTTAGGATGACTTGGCCATGTTCTGGATTGGCTGGAATACCACAAGATTTCTCTAAAAAAGAGTAAGATTGTCCTTAGGACACCATGAGGCTGGGAAAAGCCCCACAAACTTAGTTTTCATGGCAGAATGGCAATTACTGGTATTTCATGTTAAATGTCATTAGAGAAGAGCAATTTTAAAATACAGGCATGGCACTTGGAACACAGCATAGGGGAAAATGAAATGAGATGGGGACACTCACTCTGACACAGTTCAGGAACTTCTGTCCACGTTAAGTTGTCCAAACAGGTGCTGGTGGGGGGCTGGGCTGTGGTGTTTTCATAAGCTAGGCGACAGATGTACCTCACCGTGGTGTTAACAGCGTAAAAATTCTGCATTTTGTCTTCTGGTGATAGCGCAGCAAATTGCACAGATCTGGGTGTGGGACAGCTGCCTGGCCACCACAGAGACACCCAAATGTCCGGTTACAGAGCAAAAATAACACTTTGCTTTCAACTGTAAACATAAATCCAAGTGATGACACATGAGTCTCACTAAGAGCATGGGCACCCCAAACAGTGCCCTCCTCCCTGCCCACTTCCACCAGGGAATTGTCCGAGGTGGGGAAGTGCAGCCAGTTCTCACTGGAGAAGTTTCCAAATCCCCAAAGCCAAACCTCCTTGCCTGATTTACCCTTTGGTCACTCGGTGCTCTGCATTCCCTCCCCTTTTCCATGTGCTTCCCAAGCTGTTCCTCTATTTTCATTAGCACACAAGTGCTACACAAGTGGCTCCAACGGCCTCGGTGGAGGGTAGGAAAAAGGGGCAGCAAGAGAAGCGGCCTGACCACTTCATCCTGTGTGATGAGGAAACCCCTGAGGCAGCGATTGCCAAAGCTGTGGGTGTTCCTGCAAGCAACTCACACCCTCCTGTGTCAGAGAAAGGGAAACACTCACGGCCGCAGAACTCTGGCAGGCTGGACCAGCGGGAGTTCGACAGGCATTGGATGGTGTTAGAGAAAAGGGGGAGCTTGGTGTAACCCGGGACGCAGGCAAAAGTCACTGTGGAGCCCACACTGAAGCTCTGCTGATGTTTGGCATCCCCCCGGGGCTCAGCGTGGCTGATGTTCGGCAGCGGCCCACAGTCCCCTGTGGGAAAATAAACAGGGATTTAGAGGGGCTCCTTCTGCATNGCCTTTCCTGGCCCTCCTGAGCACCCAATCCAACCCAGGAAATCACTGACAGGGCAGCCCAGGACTGACCCAACAGCCCCCCGGGATCTGTGCTGTGCCAGGGGGGTGGAGGTGCCAGCTGTGGTGATGAGCCAGCTGTGGCTCTGGTGATGTGCCAGTTCTGGCTCTGGTGTTGTGCCAGCTGTGGCTCTGGTGACCCCAGAGGGTCTCTGCCATCAGCAGAGGAGCTCAGGGCTCTGTGATGCCAAGGCCACCTGGGAGCAGTGCAAGGCTCCCATTTCCCCCCACAGAGAAAAGCACCGGGATCAGCGAGGACAGAGCAGCGATGAGGAGGAAGGCCATGGGAGGAAGGCCCCAGAGGAGCAGAGCTGCTGCCCTGCCTTACCTTGAGCCCCAGGTGTGGTGCTGAGGAGCAGAGCGGAGCTGCCCAGCAGGCAGAGGGTGACCGCGGGCACCATCCCTGGCACAGGCAGCAACTCCTGCGGGCACGGGGCAGATATGGGCAGCCCAGTTCCCCCCAGTGCCCCCGAGGGAGGAAGGAGATGCTGCTGGGGGAGTTCCCAGGTCTGTGGGACAGGAACCTGGGGGCTCCCCTGGACGTGCAGCACAACCAGCACCCCGAGGAGGCTGCAGGTGCCCCAAGCTGCTGCTGCTGCAGGGGAGGATGTGGAAAGAGGGGTGAAAAGGGCTGGGGGCAGGCAGAGGGGCTGTGGCTGCACTGTGCCCATGGAGCAGAGCGTCCTCCCCTTGGGGAAGCGTCCCAGGCTCTGTCCCAGAGCCCCAGGGGATGGTGGTGGCACCTGAGGGACACAGGGATGGGACGGGCAGTGGGGAATTCCCTCCTCCCGTGAAAACGGGACACAAATTGGGGACACAAATCCTCCTGACCCGACCCTGGGCTGATCCCAGAATATATATATATATCCCAGAATAAACCCCAGACAGGAGTTTAGGGTGAGGAGCAGCCCCAGCTGCTCCAGCTGCCCACCCCACACAGGTGACCCTTCCTGAGCCCAAAGCAGGCAGCGAGACAGGAACTGCTCAAGTGCTTTTATTTCTTTTATTGACAGAGGTCTTCCAATACTTACAAATCCAACGTTCACGCTTCAGATTGCACTTGCTGATTTGCATTCAGATTATAAAAATAAAATTATGTGCAATTGATTACAAATACAGTAAATAAACCCTCTCCAATGGTAATTTTGGTGACCACAGCTGTAAACAATGTTTCAGCATTCACAATTCCTTTCATTTGATTGTGGGGAGATAATTCCAAGCTGATCCCCAAATCATGTGTTAAATCATTTGGAAAAAAATTCACTTTGGACTATGCAGTGTGAATAAACGTGCTGGGATTAAAACGGCAAAACCAAACACAACCCAGAGCTGTGAGCCTTTACGTTGTATTTTGCCCTTTTAGTCACTCACATGGCTTATGGTAAAAGAGCAATAAAAATAACCAGCAATGTGCAAGTGCTTGTTCTGCAGGGCTGAAGAAACAGGATCTGCAGTGCCCCTGTGACAGCTGAGCAGGACAGGGCTCTGCTGGGGAGGGAGGACCTGGGGGCCTGTCTGGAACAAGGCTGATGTGTGCATGGAAATGGTTATTTGTGAGTTTCCTCCTTATTAAAGGCATGTTCCTGCTAGCAGGGGAAAATGGAGAAACCAAAGGTCTGTAGTAGACACATTTTGGGTGGTTCCTGTTCCCAATGTGCTTCATGAGAAGCTCCCAGATGGGTGAGATGGGTGACAAAACCCCAAACCTCAACATTTTGCTTTTCCAGCAGCTCAAATTCTGAGTGTCTCAGGCTTAGGCAGTCAAAGTTCCACCACAGTGGTGTTTCCCTTCTAAATAGGAAACCTTCCAATCTTAACTCCATTTTATGACAGCTTACCCAGTGATCTTCAGCCAGGCTGAGTTCCAGCCAGGAAAGGACACCAATGCCTCAGCATGGCCTTGCCATCAGCCAGAGAAATCTGGGGCATTTTGCCCACATGGTCCCTCCCTCACCTCTCTCCATGCTCCCAGCACAGCCACGAGTGGCTCAGGGCAGGCAGGATGAAAACAAAGCGCCCAAAAGCTGCGGGGTTGGTGTCCTGCTCCCCGGGCAAAGCTCTTGGCATCTCCGTGGTTTCACACAGGGATAGCTGCCCTTGAGTTCTCAGCAGCATTCCATTATGAATATTGAATTTATAAGTTCTGAGCAGCCCTCCAGGTGCCTTCCAAAGCACTCCAGCCCCACACAGCAGTGCCAGGGGTTCCTGCAGTCGCTGCTTCAAGGCCACTTTGTGAGGAGGGAAAGCAGAGCCCTGCCCCATCTCCCCCATCACAATTCCCAGGAAAGCTCAGGCACTGGACACCAGTGCAACAGCAGCGATTAATTGAGCAGAAGCAATTAATGAACTTGATTACATCTGGCAAATAATGAGACTGCAAAATCTTTTAAGCCACTCTATGGAAAGGCTTGATTAGTAAATATGAAAAAAAACCCCAGAGCCAGGATACCAGTATTCCTTATTTTATATTAATTTTATTTACAAAACAGTTTTACTATAAAAACTGTAAATTTTGCACTTTTATCTGCACACTAGGAAAGGAACCTCAGTTTAAAAAAATAGTTTAGGAAATACAAATAAATCTCGTAAGATTGTGCAAAGAGGAAATTGTTTTCCTAGCGCAAAGAAACGTTTACTGACTTTTTAAAGCCTCACTTTGAGAGCTGTAAAAATACTTTGCTCATACAAAAATAAACAAAAAAGTGGGCATTAAACCAACACGGAGGTGGGTTTGAAGTGTGTTTAGTTTTTCTGCTTCTGTGGCAGCCCAGGTGAAGTCAGAGCTTTGATTTCAGGTCCCTTTGTTGCACTGGGAGCTGAATCCCTGCCAGGGATCGGTGCTGGACTCCCCTCCTCAGCTCCTGGATTTATCCTGCAATGAGAAACAAGCCGGGATCAGGGGAGCCCCTTGGCCTGGGGAGGGTTTGAGCAGCCTCCCCAGGGACCTGGGGTGTTTGGGGTGCCCCGAGCAGCTCCTACCGTCAGGTGCCAGGCGCTGGGGCTGGCACAGGTGAGCGTGGCTGGGCACCGAGCACACGGGGCACAGGTGGCAGCTGGGGCTGTGCGGAGGGACCAGGTGGGCTGGGGAGCCCTCCCCGGCCAGGGGGCACACGGGGCTGCTGGCTGTGTCCCCGTGGATGAGGGACAGGAGCTGTCTGTCCGTGCAGGGGGGGCAGACGGGGCCCTGGGGGCTGTGGGAGAGAGGGGAGTGGGTCCCAGAGGGGCTGTGACAGGACCTGTCCCTCTCCAAACCAGCACCCACAGAGCTGCTCTCCTTCACCATTTCCCTTTTTGAACTCCAGCAGGCAGAGGTTCAAGAATGCAGAACTGGACCAGCTCCCCCAGGACTGGGGCTCCCAGCCAGTGGGGCAGGCACTCACAGGAATAAATGGAAAAACCCCAAAGCAAAGGCAGCAGCAAGGAGTTCACACTTCCCGAAGCCAAAGCAAGCAGATGCATATGTCCAACCATGTTTATCTGGGTTTTCATGTGAATTTGGCTCTGTCAATGGTGGCTCTGTTGAGAAAGCACCAGACTCACATGGACAAGTGTCAGAATAAATAAATAAACTGAGCAAACAGCTTCACCTCATCACTTCCCTGGCCCAAAACCGTACCTTGCCTCAAGCAAAGGAACCACACCCAGAGGAGGGAAAAGCCCTGGGCAGTGGCTGAGCAGAGGCTCCCACTGCAGGGTCCCACCTGGGCTCTTTGCTGCCTAAGCAGAACCAGAGCCCCAAAGAACACGAGGCTGAGCACAGTGAGGAGCACAGGCTGCTCCAGAGACACCCAGGGAAACCCCACAACATCATCTGAGTGAACCTCACCCAGTTCCACCTCTCTCAGCTTGGGCAGGCACCACCCTTTACCCTGGCCCAGGGCGAGGAGCAGCCAACAGTCACCCAGTGCCACCTGCTTTATTCTGAGTTTAGCAGTGAGCTCAGCTTGGAGGGCAGCGGGCACTCCCTGCAGGGCTGGCAGGAGCTGGGCAGGAGCTGCCTGGCCACACTCACCCCTTGTGCTGCCACTCCCCCGGTGTCACAGCCCTGCTGTCCCCCTGGCCCGTGTGGGCACGCAGCCAGCTCTCACAGGTGGGACAGATGTGGTCACTGTGGAGAGGAACCATTGAGGGTGAGCACTGAGGGCATGGATGTGCCTTCCAGGCCGTGGGGCTTGGAACAGCCTGGGGTAGTGGGAGGTCTGGGGGTGGGATGAGATAAGCTTTAAGGTCCCTTCCAATCCAAACCCCTCTGGGATTCTCTGATAAGCACAGTTCTGAAATTCGCTGGTTTTTGTCCATGCCCACTGTGGCATCTGGGTGGTTTTGGGTGGAAGACTGACCTTTGGTGGTCCATGGGCTGCTCTGCCTCACTCCTCCATGGAGCAGCTCCTCCTGTGCCATCTGCCCTGAGCACATCCACATCCATGGCAGGAGAGCTGAGCACACACACAGAGAACACACAGATCCTGAGCATGCGGCTTCCCAAAAACACCTCCTGCCCAGCTGAGCCACTATTCCCTAAATATCAAACCCTTGCTCCTGCTGAAACAGGAACCACACAAATTCCAGCTGCCAAACTCACTTTATCCACATAGAGATGCTTCCTCCCCCTTTCCCCTTGCTTTGTTCCCCTGTTGGATTTTACCTGGTGCCTGCTGGGCTCTGACTGTCCCCATCACCCACGCTGGGCACCGAGTAGCTGCGGGGTTTTTGGGGCTGGGAGCTCAGCCAGTCCTGGCAGGCGGCACAGCCGTGCTGTGGGGGCTCTGAGAGAGGGGCCAGGGCACTGTGGAGCTGCTCCTCACAGCTGGGACACACGTGGCACTTCCCTGTGTGGCTGTGGATGAGAGAGAGATGGGGGAAATCCACCCAGCAAAGCCCAAACCCTCCTGAAGCCCCCCTTGGACAGCAGGGCGTTCATCGTGGCATTTGAAAGTCAAAAATTGAAAAGATCTTCTGCACAGGTGAGCTCTGCAGCAGTGAGACCCCTGGCTATAGTCAGGCACAAAGTTTTGGGCAGGTGAACAAGCAAACCTACCAAAAATAGGAATTCCAGAGCTTGGGGAGCTTCTTCTCATCTGTAACCTCCAGGTGCATCCCTGTATCCCTTCCCTTCACCTCCTGCTTTTGTGAATTCACATTATAAGAGCTGGAGAGACAGAAAGGGAGAAAATTGTAGAATAAAAGCTTCACAACGTGGAAAAATTGTGCTAACCATGCAAATATGCTGAAGGTATAGGGTTTGAAAGGAAAATTCCACTTATCCCCAGGGAAAGTTCTGATTTTGGAGGGGCAGCTTACTGCTTTTCATTCTCTTTCCGTCTCACGATGATCCCAGCTAGAATTCCAAGGGCTACTGGGGGAACTAACAAAGAAGGGAAAGGGAGAGTGAAATCAACCATTGACTCCAGGTATTTAACAGCAGACAGCTTTGGGGTAGGAAAATGTATTTTCAATTTTAAGCTACTTACCTATGCAGCTCGGAATGAGGATGCTTGCTGGGGAGGAAAATAATGAAAGGGATGTTAAAAATATGAAGGCCCAAATGTGGTGCAATTACAGCAATTAACAGGGCTTCTAAGAAATGGAGCTCTTACCCAGCCAGTAAGGATTCTCTTCCGAGGGTTTGGTTTGGTTTGTCTCTGCTGTGGTTTTAACTAGGGAGAGACAAAGGAGAAGCATTCAAAATGTGATTTTATATGGTGCTCAATATATAAAATAGTTCAGAGAGGAGTAAACAACACATGGGCAGGTGACTTGTTCATCTCAGGCTGTGGCAGGGACCTCTTGTGCCACTCCAGGCCTTGAGGACAGAGAGGATTCTGCTGTTCCACTTGGCTTTATTGCCTGAGTGTTGTAGGACATGAGATATAAATCCTTTAAGTTCCGTCCAGCAGCTTTGCAGCCACTGATAATTTCCCGCATTGTTCATTACATTTCTGCCTGCCCCTCTCGAAGGGAAAGCATAAACCCAGGTGTGGTTCTGCTCCTGGTGCTCCTCAGCAGAGCCCGGCACCGTGCAGAGCCCTGGAGCCAAAGCCTGCAGGGCGCCTGTGCTGCCGGATGGGATCGGGCGCAGTGAGAGCAGCAGGAGCGAACTGCGGGCAAGGGGAGGCTGCGGGCAGGGACGGGCTCACCCCGGCAGGCGGNGTTGGGGATGTCCGGGGGCGGCTCGCAAGGGATGCCTGCACAGGAGCAGAACCTCAGCTCAGCAGCAGCACCGCAGCACCTGTGGGGCACTTCTTGAGCCCCTCGGGCTGCGGGGCACAAACACTTCTAAAGATGGGATGAAGTGACCTCCCCAGTGATGGTTGGGAACAGGATCCCACCCTGGCAGGTAGAAAGCAGAGCAGTAACCAAAACTCTTTGGAGGAAACACCTGCATGCTTTGCATTTGCTACTTTTAAAGAAATAATTTGAATACCTATTTAGCATCACTTGTATAAAATCCTGGCGCCAATCCAGGCACAGTCTGTGTGTCACCTGTGGTTCACACCTACCTGGAGAATCTGGGAAATGCTTTAAACCCTCAGAATGTACCAGCAAATGTTTCTTTCTTCCGTGTGAAACGGCCCTGATCAGCCACGCAATCTGATCAGCAGAGAAAGCCCAGGGGGAATTGCTGAGGAGCAGCACAGCAGCTCTTGGGCACTCACCAGTGGCGGAGAGAGGGAACAAACCCCGGTCTGGGATTTTGGGATTCGCTGCTGGCCCTGCCTCGGTGCTCTGCCTCTCCCTAGGCCTGACCCTTGGTCTCTCTGGGTGTGACAGAGCAACCCCTAAGCTGAACACGTGTTCCCTTCCTCTGCTGCAATGGGCTCCTGGTGTCAGGCAGCAGCAGGATGCTCAGGCACTGCTGGAAAAGCTCCAGCTGAGGTGTTGCTTTCCATAATCCCTTCAGCTTTGGGGTCTTGTACCTTTTCCCAGACTGCTTGCTTATGCCTCCAAAACCTTCTGATTTTTCCTGCCCACAAAGGGGAGAATTGCCTGTGAAAGCTTTGATTGGAAAGATGTGGCAGACTCTGCTGGAAAATAATTCCCAGAACCACAAGCTACTCACGCTGACAGAGGGGAGTGTGGCCAGTCCATGCAACACGTCCCCCAGAGATCTCACAGCGTCTGCTGGCTTGTCCAATTAACCTGTGCCTGGTGGAATAAGGGTTGGTCATTCACCCCAAGCCATTCCAGCTGGAATTACTGCTCCTCCCAACCATGTGGGATGTGGGATCAGCCCTGCTGGCAGCAGAGCTGTGGCCCTGGAGGGGAAATTCCTTCCTTGCTCTGCCTGACCCATTTTCCAGCATTTGTAGGGGATATATATATATAAAATATATATATATATATAAAATATATATATATATCCATTTTTATATATACATATATATATATAACATATATATTAAATATATATATCCATTTTTATATATAATATATATCCATTTATATATATATATAAAAATAAAAATACATATATATCCATTATATATATATATATATATATATATATATATATATATTTATATATATATACACCCAGAATCCATTTACTGGGAGTGACTGAACAGAGGTTAAAAAGGGGGACACTTACCCATTCTACCTCCAAAGCAGGACTTACCCTTCCTCACAGCTGTAAACCACTGTAGAGCCAAGCTGCAGATTTGTCAGGGAAATAATCCTGCCATGCACAGGCTCACCTGGGTGACTGCACTGTTTCCCTGGGGAAGGAAAACACCCTTATGTCCTGCCTCTCTACATCACAGCACCAAATATGCAATTATTCCTCCAGTCCCCTGCCCACATTCCCAGTTCCCCCCAAAATGGGTTTCCCATTTCAAAGGGTTACATGGCTTTACTAGTCACATATTCAGAATAACACCAAGGTTTTGGCAGCATGGACAGAACCTGAGATCTGTTCCTCCTGCACCGACAGACACCAAATCAAGGAGCTATTCACTTTTACAGAACTCTAGTGCTTCTGACCACACTCCTCTCTCAAGGCATGTCAGAGTAGGTGACATTCCTGGCACTTTAGCATATCCAGGGCGGCAAGTGTATTGCACAGTCTTCCCAACAGGAAAATCAATGGCATTCCTGTGCTCCTCATTTAGCTCAGCAAACTGTAACCTTGTGGGAGCACCACAAGCACCTAGTGAGAGAGAAGAGATGTGAGAAGCAGGCAGGACAGGCACTTGGGGGGCAAGCACACAAAGAGCACTGCTAGGAGGAAAGGGGTTTGGTTTGCCTTGCAAAAATGTTCATTTTGATTAATATAGCCATTAATGAAGACATTTTCCCAAAGGGCAGCAGAGGATTAGGTTCTTATTCCCAGGATAGGCTTGAATCTTCCCCCTCAAAGGGTTTAACAACATTTTTAAACAGAATTAGGGGTCATAAAACAGCAGTTGTGTCAGGTACCTGGGGACCTGGTGAAGGAGGAGTGGTGGGGCAGTGCTCTGTCACACACAGGAGCAGGGGGCTGCCAGCTGCCATCCTCCTGGCACGACAGGCTGGCACTGCCCTGCAGGCTGTACCCATCGTGGCACCGGAATGTCACCATTTGTCCGGGGGCAGAGAGGAGCCCGTGGCCACCAACTTGCCTTCCATTGGCTACGATTGGATTGATGCAGACAGTCCCTGGAAATCAGGGTGTGCAGGAGGAGTCGGAGCAAGAGGAAACACAAAACCACCAGCTGTTAATGTTGGAACCACAAAATCAGCGCGATGTCCACACAAACCTCCCCAGCTGTAGGAAGGCTTGGCATTAATTGAGTCCATGATACACTTTACATGGAATTAACCCTCTTGGAGGATCTGTTTGCAGTGGTGAGGGTGTCCCCTGTGCTCAGAGCCTGAGGGACAGAGCCCGGGCTCACCTTCGCAGCGAGGCCGGGGCTGGCTCCAGTTCCCCGATGCTCTGCAGGTCACGGCGGCATTTCCTACCAGGTAATAGCCGGGATCGCAGCTGTACCTCACAGACATCCCAGCGGTAAAAAACGCTTTGTCCTGGCCGTTGTGATTTCCATTGGTGACCTCCGGAGGCATCGGGCACGGCCGGACTGNAATACTAAGAAAGAAATACTAAATACTGAATAATACTAATTAATATTAAATACTAAATACTAAATATTAAATAATAAGTTTCACATGAATACCAAACTGATACTAAATACTAAGTAATAAATACCAAATAATAAATAATAAATACTAAGAAAAAATACGAAATACAAAATACAAAATACTAAATGTGAAATATTAAATAATAAATAATTAATAATTAATCAATAATAAATAATAAATATCAAATAATAAAATAAATAATAAATAATGAATAATAAATAATAAATAATAAATAATAAATAATTAATAATTAATAATTAATAATTAATGATTAGTAATTAATAATTAATATTAATTAGTAAACAATAAACAATAAACATTAAACAAGAAACAATAAACAATAAACAATAAACAATAAACAATAAACAATAAACAATAAATAATTTCAGCCACTGAACTGGGATGAAAGCACCTTTGCACTCGGGTGTGGCTCCACTCCAGACCCCGCTGGTTTTGTCCCTGCTCCCACACTGGATGCTCCCATTCCCCACCAGCTGGAAGTTGGGCTCACAGCTGTAGGTCACCGTGGAGTTGTAAGCAAAAATCTCAATTCCTTCCCCATCGTGTCTCCCGTGGCTGATTGGAGGAGGTGGAGGGCAGGTAATTACTGCAGGAGAGAAGGACAATGTGTTTTAAAAGCTTCAGTTTTAATAAAAAATACAAAAAGTTTGAGTCTGCCTGAGGTTCTTGAGGATAAACTTTGGACAGTGCAGGTGGGTAACAGTACTACATGGGTAAAGCACAGCTGCCTGTCCCAGCTCTTCTCTCTGGTTTGTTCCCCAAGTGTTCTTCTTCTCACACTTTTATCCCTCTCCCTCTCTTCACCCTCTCTTTATTTGCCACAACAAATAAACAGCAGCTTGCCACGCTCAGGATTCCTGGAAATCTCACCCCATCACTTTCAGTCATGACAAAAATGCTGATTTTGTGGGAACAAAGCTGCTGAAACAGCAGCAGAATGGGCATTTCTCAGCTGTGCTTTTGGGGACAGATCAGCCACAGAGTATCCACAAAAACAACCCAAAGAGAACTTTGGGCTGGACATGGGGATGCAGGACCTGCTGGAGTGAATTTAAGATGAATCTCACATTCACAAGTTGGAAGTTTGCTCCATTCAACATCGTTTCCTTTCAGCTGGCACCAGATGAAATTATTCCCGACTAATTTGTACCTAAAACACACGAGAGAAAATCAGAGTAACTGCCCCAAAACTGGGAATGTTTCCCACCCACCTCCAGTGCAAGCATGATCAGGAGTGTGGGAGAGAAAGTTAAAACAGGCAGAGCTGCTGACACTGCTGGTGAGCAGAACTCCTCTCAGGATCTGTGTTCATCTATTTTTGGTGCCTCTCTGCTCTGACTCTGCATTTTCCGTGGCAGGGAAGGGAGGAATTGGAGCTGAGGCTGGCAGAATGCTCTGGGGATGCCAGACAGGGCTGGGCCGAGCTGAGGGATGGATTCCCACAGGGATTTGCTGAATCAGGAGCTCCATCCCTGCCTGCTCCTGGCTCACAGCACTGCTGGGACTGACCCTGTCCCCATCCAGGGCTGGGGTGACAAGGGAGGAGCCCCCTGGGACAGTGCAAGGTGTCCCTGCCATGGCAGGGGTGGCACTGGATGGGTTTTAAGGTCTGTTCCAACCCAACCCAGATTCACATAGATCCCCCTGACCTCCAGGAGCAGTGAGGGGCAGCAGGGCTCAATCCGTGTTTAATTAAAGTGGTTTCTGCCTGGTTTGCTGGAAGCTCAGGGGCAGTGACACCTTCCCCATTCTGATTCTCCCTCCTGTGCAGAGCAGCATCTGGCCAGGGTGGATAATGATCATATCTGACCTAACTTCCATGAGCAACGTGATCCCTCCACCCTGCAGTGGGCTTCCAAAGCTGAGCTCAGCCCCAGCAGGGTGGGACACGCTCTCATTTTCTCAATTGCATCCCAAGGGAGAGACAAAACCCCTCTGCTACATCTGGAGCTGGGCAGCACCAGCCAGATGATGCCAGCTGCTTCCTGCTGGAGGGAGGAACCCTGCCTGGAGTGTTTCAATTAGAGATTAAAATTTCAGGGCTGTCCACTGCATTTGAGCCCTGATTGAAAGCAGGCCGCAGGCATGAGTCAGCTCCTGACTGTGGAAATTGTGTTTCACTGCACTTTTCCAGCTGAACTTTAATGGATTTTAGAAATCCCTTGTTGTAACCCTTTTTGTTCAATATATCTCAACTGTCTTAAGCTGAAATATTTTAAATAACTTGTACTGAAGTCCAGAGTAATCAGCTGTGAGTACAACCAGCTGCTCCTGTTGGGATGGACACCCAGAGCTGCTCTGGGTGGCACTTGGTGGAAAAGGTGGCCCTGAATCCTGGCCCTGGTGCCCTCCCTGCAGCTCTGTGCCCTCTGGAGCCGTGTCCCAGCACTCACCCATCCTCACAGGACACCTCCACCCGTGCTCCCAGCTGCAGGTCCCTCAGGGGCCCCATCCTCCCTCCAGGCAGAGCTCCTGGGCTGCCACAGGACCTCCCTGGGGACACAAAAAGGCTGAATGAGACACAAAACAGGGGCTCTGGGGAATTCCCAAAGGTTCCAGAGCATTTTACTGCATGGGCATCACAGCCAGGCTGGCAGGAGCCAAAGGTGGGGATCCCAAAATGCTCCACGCCCACAGAGGGGTTTCCATCCCAGTGGATTAGGAACAAGGTACTCGACTGTGAAAAAATATCCCTGTCAATCACCAGTCTCAAAATTCCATGGGTGTCACCAAGAGAATACTTTGCCTTCATGTTGAAGTTCAGTGCTACAATAGCAAATTGGGATTTGTCCCCTGCCTGTGCCATGTCCCAGTGAAAACAACTTTAGAACCACAAAAAGGTTGGAAAAGACCTCTCTGAGATCACAGAGTCCAACCAAACATTCCCTGGCATGAAAATCAAACCAGACCTGTTTATGCCAGCAGAAAAAGCAGAAAGAACTTCAGTGACACTTGTGCTGTTTAATCTTAACAAGGAATGACAGGGACTATCCCCCAGTTTCGTGTTAATGGAGCTGTTGGGATGATAATGACCAGGCTGTGTCATTATCATCCCAACATTCTGGGAGCAGCCAGGGCTGCTTTTGGGGCTGTGGGGCAGCAGGAATACTCACTCCTGCACAGCTCGGCAGGCTGGGACCACGTCAGGTTCTCCAGGCAGGTGCTGGAGGGGGAAATCTCCGAGGAGTTCTCGTAGCCGGGCCGGCAGACGTAGCTCACGTTGGTGCCAACGGGGAAGAAATTCCTCCTCTCATCCTCCTTGGACAGGGCAGCAAACCTCAGCCTGGTTGGGGCAGCACAGCTCCCTGGCAGCCAAGGAGAGGCAGCCTGACAGAGCTGCCCACCAAACACCCCTGGGAGCACAGGAATGCTTCTGGAGAGCTCCTGGTGCTGGTGCCAGGGGAATTCGGGCTCCTTACCTGGCTGCCAACCTGCTGCAGGCACCAGAGGGGGGATGGAGGGGGGTCAGGAGCCCGGGGAGGGTCAGCAGGACATAGGGAGACCATGCATGGGCTGGGGGGCACAGGAGACCCCAGCCCCATCCCTGACAGAGCCCTCTGCCACCCCTGCGGCCACCAGGGGCTGAGAGGGACAGCAGGACAGAGGGTTTGTCACCTGGGCAGGGCAGAGGGTTTGTCCCCTGGGGACAGGGACAGTGCTAGCACACCAGGTTTATCCCCTGGGCAGGTAGCACAGAGCGTTTGTCCCCTGGGCAGGTACAGAGCCAGCACAGAGCGTTTGTCCCCTGGGCACAGGGACAGTGCAGTGTATCAGGTTTTCCCCTGGGGACAGGGATGGTGCCGAGCAGGAGGGACAGGGATATTCCCCCCCGGGCCGTGTTTCAGATATAAAGGAAGGTATTTACGGCCGCAGGGCTCGGCCAGCCTGGACCAGATGTCGCCGGGCAGGCACTCCACGGTGTCGGGCATGCCCGGGATCCTGCGGGCTCCCCCCGAGCAGCTGAACGTCACCCTGGATCCCACCGGGAAGCTGCTGGCGCTGCTGGAGGGGCTGGAGTGGGTCATGGCAGGCGGGGGCCCGCAGTCACCTGCAGCAGGACAACACCCCCTCAGGTGAGGAGCCCCTTCTGTGGCCCCTTCCCCGCCCCAGGAGGTGTTTGGATGGCCCAGGGTTCTAAAGGGAAGGCAGCAGCCAGGGCTGGGTCTGTGACAGCCCCAGGCTCAGGGGAGCATCCCCAGCCCAGCCCCGGAGCTGCAGGTGTGACCCAGAGGTGTCCCCGGTCCTTGCCGGTCCCCGTACTCACCGTGAGCCACAGGAATGCCCAGGAGCCCCAGCAGGGCCAGGAGCAGCACGGAGCTCACCCCACAGCCCGGGGGCTCAGGGGGTGCCCCCCATCCCGCTGCTGCAGCCGTCATTGCAGCGAGCGCTGCTCTCCTGCTGCAGCCCCGCTGCCTGCCAGGGCTGGGAGGGGATGCTCTGCAGGCTCCACCAAACCTCGGGAGCTGTGGAAGCCTCCCCAGGACACCCACGGAGCTGAAACCTCCGCCAGGGTGGGGGAAAGTGTCACTCACAGGCTCGGGGAGAGCCTCCTGCTCCTCCTGCCCCGAGCTCCTTGTTTGTGTCGCTTAATTCTTTGCTTCTGAGGCTGGCAGCGAGCACAGACCAACAGAGATTTTCCAAAACTACGTTCCCAGAAAAGAAAATCCCCATTCCAGCCTCAAGCTGCATCCAGGGTGGGAAACACCTCCTTAGCTATTTGCTGGCAGGTAACACACCACAGATGTGCTGTCAGCACAGTCAGTGAAGCAAATAAAAGCATTTTCCTTCTCGTTTGCTGGATTTTCCTTTGATTGCCTGACTCCTGGTAATGAGGAACGGCCGTGAGCAGCCACATCCCATTAACACTGTGACATTTCTGTGTGACATCAGCCAGGGCAGAGGGTTTGTCCCTTGGGAATAGGGACAGTGCCAGCAGAGTGGTTTTGTCCCTTGGGACAGGGACAGTGCACTGAGTTTGTCCCTTGGGACAGGGACAGTGCCAGCACAGTACCAGCACCACGGGTACCAGCCCCAAGCCCACACATATTTCATTTTCTGTAAAATATTAAACCACCATGTCCCAGATTGCAAGGCAACATGTATTTTATTTTCCATCTGTTTGGCTGTTGTCTTCTGTTCAGTGGGCAGTTTTCCTTATCTCTTCCACACCCAATCCTCCCTCCTGGGAGACATCTGCTGATAACAGGCTGCTGAATGTCACTGCATGGCTGATAAGAACTGCAGCATCCCATTGGGAGAGGTGAGCCCAGAGGGAGGAGAAAAGCATTCCTAGGGGAATATAATCTGAGGTTCTGGGGACAGCAGAACAGGGGTTTTGTCCCCACTGGATTCCCAGAGGGAACAGCTGCCTCTTCCACTGGATCTTCAGAGGAAGATCCATCCTTCTACAGGATCCCTGCTCCAACATGCCTGGCCATGATGGATGGAGGGATGGATGGATGGATGGACGGATGATGGATGGATGGATGGATGGATGGATGGATGGATGGATGGATGGATGGATGGACGGACGGACACTGCAGCTCTGTGCCCTGGATGCAGGTGAGTCAGGTGGTTCTGTGGGCACTGGCCATGGGCAGGGATGATCTGAGCAGGGTCTGATTGGAGCTGTGGTGCTGTGGCAGAGCGAGTGTGCCACCTAGTGCCACTGCATCCCAAATCTGCATCCCAAATCCACATCCCAAATCTGCATCCTGGATCCACATCCCAAATCTGCATCCCAAATCCACATCCCGGATCCACATCCTGCACCCATACCCTGGATCCACACCCCACATCCACACCCTGGATCTCCATCCCACCTCATTCCAGATACCCCCAACCTCCTCTCCCACCCCCCTTAACAGACCGAGTGACCAGATGAATAGAGTACAGAAAATTAACCCTTTTTATTGATGCATTGCAATTGTTCTACATTTTTACCATATTATGTAGAAAATACTTAAAATACAAGCTACTTTGTAAAACCAAAGACAAACATTGAATCCAAAGATAAACTATGTTTTCACAATGGACCCTTCTCCCATATAGTTAGTATTAAATTTTTAAATATCTATTTCTTTTGTTAAAATGATTTTTACATACCCCCTAAGTACATCAGCAATACAAACATAGATCAGTAATTGTCAGAAACTACCTGTATCTAGCGGCTTGTAAAAAGGAAGAGCACAACCATAAAAGAAAGTTAAATTTTACACAGTAACTAGCATATCAAATACATTTAATAAAGTAGGAATTCCATTGCAATATCAAGGATTCAAGCAGAAATACTAACATTACATATAATGTACTGCTACATGTAGTGAGATAGATATAGTTCAAGCTGAATCTGAAATCACACATTATATAAAGTTTAGCAACAAACAACCATGTGGACATGCGGCACCATTCAGAAGTTTAAATAAAATTAAAAAAAAGAAAGCAGGGCTGTGCCAATCCTGTCATTTAGAAGCAATTTAGTTTCATGTACTAAAAGAAATTGCTGAGTCAGAGGTAAATTACTGCATCCCATCAATTAGGTGCTAAGCAGGAAAGCCTCAGGAGTTGCCTCTGCAGGGGCTATCACAGCTGCAAATACAGGTCAGGTAAGAGAAAACTGATTGAACAGCTCAGGAATCACACAGACAAACCTAGCTGGGACCACGAGCTGGCTAGCAAATATTCCAAAGGTGAATCCCAAACTAGTTGTGAAGGAAATTAAAGGATGCCAATTCCTATCCAGAGATAGCAGACTTCTCTCCAAAAATGTGTAGCAGGCTCTGACAATGAGGAGAGTCAATTCTTGAACCCAATTTGAGGCTGGATATGCAAGGGAAGAAGGGATGTATGTCCTTAGAGCAGAACACAATACACCTAAATTGGGCATCACATACTGGGGCCAGACTGGGAGGCCCTGGCCCTGCTGGGGTGGGGTTTGCTGTGTATCACAGAGGAATTCTGGGGTATCATTTGACAGCTTGTTCCAAATGGAGCACGTTTGATTTTACCCACATCATTTCCATCTCATCCTCCCCGTTCCAACACTTCCGGGAACTCGGGCAGTGGAGGAGATGACACCGTGCTTTGGGAATACATTTCATTGGGATTAATTGTGTTCCAAGGTCCTCTAAATGGACATTACAAGCTGCTGTTTTTAAGGGGAAGTGGGCAAGTTCTCAAAATTATTAGCAGATTTTGCTAGAGGTCTTTTTCTTTTTCCTGTTAGTGAAGTGTTTTCCATGAAGTCCTATTTGTGAAACGGGGAGTTGGAGCTCGGTTTGCCTTTTGGTGGAAAGGCACAACTCTGTACCCAAGAGGTATCTCAAGGCAAGTACTGAACACAAGCAATGTCAAAAAAAGCAACAAAGTGCCTACAGCAACAAACAGCATCGTTTGCAGCAACGATGTGGCACAGCAAGGTTGGTTCTCTACAAACACACTGAACATCAACGGGGGCTAACGCTACCGCCCAGCTCCACAGCCCTCCCTGGTCCCTCCACCTCAGGCCAGTCCAGGCTTCCTTCCAGCAGGAACGTGGGCTTGCAGAAATGGTTTGGGCATTTCTTGCCACTGCCAGGTCAGGACTGGCCTCCTTCCCACTGGGACGGAACATAAACTGGGGTTCAAGGTTAGCAAACCTCTTATTGCTGCAGTCACACGACTGCTCAAACCAGTTTATATCATCATTTTGGACAAGATACTTTATGCGTTAGATGAGAAATAATTCCTGGTACAAGGGACCCAAGAAAACAAAGTGTAGTCCAAAACCTGCACTGATTATCCAAAGTGAGTATTTCCTCTGAACACTAACTAGGGCTACAGCTGACAGACCTTCCCAACAACTCCACACTAGCAGTAGCTATAAAACTTTTTAATGGTATTATGTGCTTTACAGCAGGCTCTCTTTGGTATAAATATTCTATCACCAAGCTAGCAATATTTTACACGACACATCTGCTATTCCTGTGGGGGAAGGTAACGCTACACTAAACCTAATAAAAGTGATTGCACGTTATTTAATCACTTCTGCAATATTAGACTAAACATTCCAATGCATTCCCAGCACTACCTTATCCGAAATGCACTGACAGACACTAACAGTACATGTGCCATTGGAAGGGAAAGCTTCGAGGGGACGGCGCTTCACTGGGAACAAGCACGGAGCTGGGATGAGAGCGGTGAAGGGAGAGGGCTCTGCACCATCCTGCTGCTCTGGCTGGGGGAGCTGGGTGGGTGAATTGCTTCAATTCGACGGGGGCTTGCTGGTCCCTCGTAAGGCAAGCTCACTGTAAACTCTAGTCACACTACATCATCATTTAAGGCACTACAATAAGGGGACACACCAAACAACTCTTCATCACACATACCTGTGCAAAACAAATCCAAGGTATCCTTTCCTCTCGTGAAGCTCTACTCCTCTCTCAGTGCTACAGTGATGAGCTCTAACCATTGCATTATATCACATACATTCCAACATGAATCAATTCATTTTGGTTTAAATACAAAGGATACAACACTTCCATCCCCAGGAACGTTTAAGAATTAGACAAACACTAAGTACAGAGTTCAAGTATAATCACTACACATTTTGATTACAAAGACAGAACATTTGGGGTTAGCAGGAAGTTTTGCTTGTTATATTTTTCTAATCAATATGTACATATTTCATTTTCTGTAAAATATTAAAACACCACCAATACAAAACTTCTAAAATAGTTTTAAATTCAGTAATAAACTTTAAAATCTGGATTTTTTTTTTCTTTTTTCTTTTTCTTTCTCTTTTTTTGTCTTGTTTTTTAATTTTTTTTCCTTGCAATTCCTACATGCACGTACTGTTTACAAGTCTTATTAAGAGCGCTTTAGAGTAGCTGCTGACATATCCAGGAGGATACGCTCACAGGAGTATAAAAAGCTGTACACATCAATACAGTGATGTTTCATTGTATTTCAAATTTATCTCCCTCCTAAATGAACCACGTGAGGCAAAAACATTAAGAAAAACAGAACAAAGCAAAGCCCTGTGCTTCTGTGAAGGAATCCAGCTCCATTATAGGGCCAGCATCTAATAAGCTGCAGAAACCAAATTTTAGAGCAATGCTGCATTATTCACTCTCAACTGGAGACAACAACACCACCCTGACAGAGCTGCTGAGCTCTGTCACACAGTGAGATCCTGAATACAGTTTGAACCACTTAGAAGAATTCTGCAACAAACACAACAAAAATTCAGCTGGGTTATGGAGAATTTTCAAGAACACAAAGCAGACTCCAGAGTTTACAGGACTCCTGAATGTATCGTGTTGCTGGCATAAGGCAGCTGCCTCTACCAGTCCTTAAACAAAGGAGAGGAGTAAACAAAATACTTTGACAGAAACAT